GCTTCCTCTAGTGAAAAACAGGAACAATAATGGTACCTACATCATAGGTTTATTGTGAGGATTAAAAGAATGAATATTTGAGTTAGTGTTGGGGTCTGCAGTAAGCATTAATTGAGTTACTTATTTATTTATTTATTTTTAACATTACTAGTAATAACAGAGAAAAATGTCTATTGACATAAAATTAATGTATAATGTATAGATAAATTTACTCAAAAAAAGGTTTTTAAAGTATATTTAGGATACTCAAAAAATATTTGAAATAACATCAAAAAGTACAAAAAATATAAAACATAAAAATAGGTAGGCCAAACCTATAACCTCAGCACTTTAAGAAGCTGAGATGAGAGAATCACTTAAAAGGAGCTCAGGACCAAGGACCAGCCTGGGCAATGAAGTTAGACCCCATCTCTTTAAAAAAAAAAAAAAAAAAAAAAAAAAGCTAGCAGGCATGGTTGCATGCACTTATAGTCCTAGCTATTCAGGTGGCTGAGGCAGAAAGAGCTTTTGAGCCTGGGAATTAGAGGCTGCAGTAAGCTTTGATGGGACCACTGCACTCTAGCCTGGGTGACAGAGTTTTTTGCTTCCATAAATCTCAACAGCATTTCTGGGGCCAAGATACCAGGTTACATATTTTGGAAATGGTATTAAAACTCCCCTCTCACAAAGGAAAAAACAAGCCACATTCTCTCAAACTCTTGCTCCTGCCAAAAAAAAAAAAAAAAAAAAAAGAGTCTGCTTGCCTTGGGAGCCTCTGTTGCTACCAATTTTACTCTTGCTCCCAAACAACCCTATACACTTCCTAGTCAGTGATTGTCTTTCACTAAATCAACTTGTCTGACTGCTTATTTTATCTGGAACCCACTGAAAGCCCTACTAAAACAATCAACTAATTTGGGAGTAAGATACTCCCTACTAGATAACATACATGTAGCTTTTTAAATCCTTGAAATGGCTTAACATAAAGGGGTGAACCCAATAGAACTATTAGGCTCCATGACAATTCTTTGGGAATGAGAGGTCTTAGATGTCTCTTCACCTTCCAGGTGGTGGTTTTAATAAGGACTATCAACAACAGCAGGAAATGGGAACCTGCAAAAAATGTAGAAACCTGCAAAAAATCTGAGGAAAATGGTGGACCTTTCCACAGGATGAGGAATGAGGGTTTGAGCCAATCTTATATAAATTTTAAAGTGGGCTGGGCATGGTGGCTCATGCCTGTAATTCCAGCACTTTGGGAGACCAAGGCAGGCAGATCACCTAAGATCAGGAGTTTGAGACCAGCTTGGCCAACATGGTGAAACCCCATCTCTACTAAAAGTACAAAAATTAGCTGGGCTTAGTGGCGGGCACCTGCAATCCCAGCTACTCGGGAGGCTGAGGCAGAAGAATCGCTTTCACCTGGGAGGTGGAGGTTGCAGTGAGCCAAGATCGTGCCATTGCACTTCAGCCTAGGCGACAGAGTGAGATTGCATCTCAAAAAAAGAAAAAAAAATTTAAACCGAAGAACTAGAGGTGTTGTTCAACAGAAGTAAGAAGACTTAGGACCCAGAGAACCCTCAGACAAAAAGAGAGCAGTTACCAAAAGCCAAAGTGGAAAGATACTTCCTCTTGATGTGGGAGCTACTGATTTTTCAAAAACCTCTCTGACTGCAGCCTAAAAGTGTGATGGAAGTACCAGGACAGCGGCAAACAGAGCTTGACACTTAGAGGTGCCTCTGCAAGTGGCACTAGAAATTCCTTTCGCTTTTTAAATACAATGCACAAATTGTAACCTAATTCTGCAAGACCACGGATGTCCATTTCAGGCTTAAACTCTCATCCAATTTTAGCCTCTAGAGCAGGGGTAGTAAATATTACTGTGTCAAAAATGCTGTGACAGAGGACACAAAATGTAAGGGAGGAAAGGTGAATTAGAATTATTTCACTGTACTGCTATTTCTACGCCATCAAATGAATTACTCAGCTCTACATTTTGGGGATGGATTATCTGAGCCAGTTCAGCTCCTTTCTCCCTTTGGATGCCTGCCCTGAGGCTAGGTCACTGTTCACCAGCCCAGTAAGCAGAAAGAGGTGTGCTCTAAGAAGAAAGGCAGATAGAATTCAAATTGATTTTTCCTTTCTTTAAAGAAGGGTAGAATCTGATTTGCTGTTGCTTTTCATCATGTGTTAATTATTGGCAATGTCATCTTCTAATCTGTCATAGGCTTTCTATTCCACTTTGAATTTGTACAGCTAAAAATATAGTCACTGATTTTCTTACCGCCATAAAACTTAAACAGTTACCACTTGGGGTTGTTGCTTTCAATATTGATAACTCTCTTCTTGGGAGCTAAGAAGTTTCTAAGAAATGTCAGAGGCAAGTCAAGGGCAAAAGTGACACCTGAACTCAGTTTTGATAGAGTGTCTCAGCTCTACTTTCTCATTTTCAGTGTGAAGAGTCAGAAAATTTGGTGGGAAACAGTGTTCCAGTTTAGTGTTTTCTGGAAATTTTTTTCTAGGGCATTTTTCTTCTTTCTCTCCCAGATCATAAGAGCTGGGCTGGTCACTGTGATGAGAAGGGCTTGGGCCCAAGCTTTTGGGTCAACTGAGGTGTCACTGCTAGGTGCAGGTGATGGGGAGGACACGCTGGATGAACATGGGTGAGGCAGAAGCTATATTACCCACCAAAGCTTTCAGGCCCCATGGAAGAAGTCTTACCACTTATGCATGGTTTACCACAAGAGTAGGAGAGGAGTCAAGTGAACAAATACCAAATCTACACTGCTAGGTGTGAATCCAAGTTCTGCCACTTAGTAGTTGTGTTGATCTTGGGTAAAATGCTTAACCTCTCTGGGCTTTAGTGTCCGCATCTTAAAATGGGTAATAATAACAAGACCTAAAGCAGAAAGTTATTGTGAGGCCTAAATGAGTTAATATTCATGAGGTACTTAGAGCAGTACCGGGCACACAGTAAGAGCCATATATATGTATATATATACAGTCATGTACTGCACAGCCACATTTTAGTCATATTCAGTGGTGGTCCCATAAGATTATAACACCATACGTTTACTGTATCTTTTCTATGCTTAGGTATGTCCAGATATGCAAATACTTACCCTTGTGTTAAAACTGCCTATGACATTCAGCACAGTCACGTGCTCTGCAGGCTTGTAGCTTAGGAGCAACCGGCTGTGCCATGCAACATAGGTATGGAGCAGGCTATGCCATCTAGTTTTGTGTAGGGACACTCTATGATGATTACACAATGACAAAATTGCCTAACAATGTGTTTCTCAGAACATACCCCTGTTGCTAAACAACTCATGACTGTATGTGCGCTTATGAAACAAATAAAATAATTCACGTATGATGGCTCATGCATACAATTCCAGCACTGGGGAGAATCACTTGAGTCCAGGTAATCGAGGCCACAGTGAACTGTGATTGTGACACTGTACTCCAACTTGGGTGACAAAGAGAGATACTGTCTCAAAAAAATAATAAATAAATAAATAAGGAGTGGGGTGGGAAGGGAATCTTGCTGGATGCTTTCCAGAGTCTTGTCTTCTTCCCTTGCTCTCTGACACACACATATCTCCCACCTCCCCAGGAGCTAAGGTGGCAGGTTATGGGCCCTGGGGGTTGGAAGCTGATGATGTTACCTAAGTCGGTGATCAGCTGGCGTATCTACAGGCCTCACACTCAAGGACTCCACAAGCTCAAGGTGCTTGGCAGAAAACAGAAGTCCCAAAAGGCCAATCCCAGCCAGCATGGATCTGAAGGAGTATCTCTTTGTAGTACCCTGACTCCTCATCAATCACAGCAGACATGGGGACAGTGGCCAAGGCCCTGGTGTGTGGCCATTTGTAAGAGGTGAGCTCATGACTGGTGGCCTGTGGATGCTGTAGCCAAACTTCAGGTTCAGCTCACCTTCCTGACTGGGGTGGCATTCCTCTCAGGCCTGCAGGTGGAGAGAAGGAGCAGCAGGAAGGGGTGGGCCAGGAGTAACTACAAGACACTGAGTCATTGGATACATGGCAGGGACAGCGGCCAACCTCCGTTTACAGATGAAGAAACTGAAACTCAAAGTGAAGCAGCAAACAGGGAGGATATGAGTTTTCTGAGGCCGGATGCTATTACAATTTTAAAGGGAGGTGGTGGATAGTTAGGAAAAAGAATGTAGAATTCAAATGCAAAATACCCCTGACTGCTAACACCACCAGACGGCAGGAGAACGGGGTGGAGGGAAAAGTCGCAGAGGAAGGAGACAGCAGTGGTAACTTACTGTGGTTAAAATATCTTACTTATCCAAATTTTACCAAAGCATAAGACATGTGACCACACTGCTAGGGAGCCCTTCAGAGGATCTTGAGGGGGATTTAGAAAGGGTTGTACAAATGCGGGGCTCTGAAGCTTCAGCTTCATTAGCTCCACTGTAAATCAGCTGACACAGTTAGCTGACGATCCATAGTTGTCAGTAAGCAGTGGTAACCATGATCTAAGTGCATGGGCTGTAGGGAAGGGCGTGGGAAAGGGTAAGGAAGGCAGGGACATGAAAAACAATGCTCCGTGTGAAGGGAGACTTTTGGAATCCCATTAGTTGTTTCCTAGGAGCCTGACAATGCCAGAAACAGGGTCAGAAAAGACCGGAAGAGAATATGTGTGGAGCAGAAGAGTCAAGTCTCAGGGGCCTCAGTGCAGCAGCCTTCCCCCAGTCCCATGGGATGGGCCAGACTACCCTCCTCTGAGCATCTAGGCTCATTGATGTGAGACTGCGGAGGAAGAGAAAGCACATGGGGGAGGGCTCCATCCCAGGCTGGGCCTGCCTGCCATCAACTGCTTTCAATCATAACACTTCCTTCTTCTCCAGGAAAGTCTTTTTTGCATGTGGTCTTGTACAACGCGCAGTAGAAAGTGAGTAAAACCCACCAAGTCAGGCCTGGGCTTGCAGTGGTCAGACTCATCAGGAGACAGTGAAAGGATTCCAGGACTTAATAAAGCTGAAAGTTTCTTACCAGAGATCAGGAAGCCCACCATAAAGAGAATGGTAATCCGTCCCATAGCGCTAGAGTCAAAAAAGAAAAGATAAAACTTGATTAGAAAAAGAAACTGAAAACTGATGTTCACCAAAACGTGACCTGGAAGTGGAGTGTGGGATTCACTTGGGTTCTTGGGTGTGCAGAGAATGCTAGGGGTTCATGAATGCCATTTCCTTTTGCTCTCAGCTCCATAGATAGGTTACATTTCCCAGCCTCCTCTGCAGTTAGATAGGCCATGAGATTGGCTTCTTGCCAATGGAATTGTGGGCAGAAAAGATGTTTCTTCCATATCTGGCTGCTAAAGTGTCCTCTCTTTCCTCTCCTGCCCTCTTAGCAGCAGGGGATCCAGAGGAAAAGTCCAAGGGCCTAGAAAATAGCAAAGTCTTACAATGGAAGGGATCTGGTTTGCTGCATGAACTGGTAAAGCAGCTCTCTACACCTTTCCAACAGTTGATCTACATTGGATTGCAATATTAGCAAAAAAATCAACTTTTGGGGATTGATTATTGCAGTAGCTAGCATTATCTATCTTGACCAACACAACAAGCATAATGGGGGCAATTGGAGAGTGTTGTATTTGTGCTTAGAAATCAGCCTTCCTTTTATTTTCCTGTGGTTCTCAAACTTTAATGTGAGTAAAAATCACCTGGAGAGTTTCCTGGGCCTCATCCACAGAAAGTCTGGCTTAGTAGGTTGGGATGAAACCCGTGAATGTTTATGTTTAACAACATAAGGACCACACTTTGAGAGCAATTCACTTAATCTACATGATGAAGCCAGGAAGAGGCCAGTGCTAAACGCTTGCCCTGGAAATCTACCGATTTGCACTGAGCAGGACATAAGTTTGGCTTGTAGCTTTCTAACAGCCAATGTAAAAAGGGAAACCTAACAGTGAATTAATTCACATGTCTGTCCACTAATTCATAGCTCTGTTGGTAAAAACAAATCAGTTCTTTCCAGGAAAAGGTGCACAACTATTCTTGATCCAATAGCAGAAATTTATTCCCCAGACAGTGTTGTTTAGAAGCCATTTGTGTTTCTTTCCTCTCTGCTCTCACAGCACCCAGTGCAGGGCACTGAGCCAGAAGTGTCTGTTACGGTTTGTTTCCTTCTAGACTACACCTTTTCTTTTTTTAATAAATATTTTTGAATAGATCATACCTGCACATGGTACTAAATTTGAAAGGTAAAGGTGATAAATAATGGAAAGCAGGTCTTCCTCCCAGCCTTGTCCCCTAGCTGTCTAGTTTTCTTCCATAGACGTAACTGGCCTGGTCATTGTTACGCCAGTTTCTTGCCTCTACTTAAAGCTACTTTAGACAAAACTAAACAAAAAGATAGATCCATATTCTGTTTCCATTTTCTTTTTAAGCACAAATGGTAGCATACTATGTACAGTTTTGCACACATATGACCACCTTGGAGATTATTCTGTATCAGCATGTAATGAGCATCCTCATGCTTACAGCTGCATATTAGTCTATTGTATTCCATTGGATGACAATAATATATATATTTCCAGACCACTACTGATAGACACTAAGGTTGTTTCCAACCTTTTGTTGCAATGGAAAATCTTGATTATATGCCATATCACATAGGTGGGAGTAAGCTATATTCTTATAGGTAGAATTACTTGACCAAAGGGCCAAATAGTTGCAAATTGTTCTCCCCTGAGATAATATGCTTATGCTCTGATCAACACAAGAGTACTTATTTTCATGTACCTTTTGCTAACACGTTTTCTAATTTGTGATCTTTAACAATGGGGAAGGGTGAAATTACATCATATAAGTTTTAGAAATTACTATTAGTTGTGGTAAAATACACATAAAATTTGCCATCTTAACCTTTTGAGTGTACAGTGGTATAAAATGCATTCATGGGACGGGTGCGGTGGCTCACGCCTGTAATCCCAGCACTTTGGGAGGCCGAGGCGGGTGGATCACAAGGGCAAGAGATCGAGACCATCCTGGTCAACGTGGTGAAACCCCGTCTCCACTAAAAATACAAAAAAAGCTGGTCACGGTGGCGCGTGCTTGTAATCCCAGCTACTCAGGTGGCTGAGGCAGGAGAATTGCCTGAACCCAGGGGGCGGAGGTTGCGGTGAGCCGAGATTGCGCCATTGCACTCCAGCCTGGGTAACAAGAACGAAACTCCGTCTCAAAAAAAAAAAAAATGCATTCATATTGTTGTGCAGTCATCACTATATCCATCTCCAGATCCCTTTTCATCTTGTAAGACTAAGTCTCTATACCTATTCAACAATAACTCCTCATTCTCTCCTCCTCTCAGCTCTTGACAACAGCTGTTCCACCTTTTGTTTCCATGAATCTGACTGCTTGGGGTATAAGTAGACTCATACAGTATTTATCTTTTTGTGACTGGCTTATTTCACTTAGTATAATGTATTCAAGGGCCATCCACATTGTAGCATGTGTTTGAATTTCCTTTCTTTCTTAGACTAAATGATATTCCACTGTATGAACATGCTACATTTTGTCTACCCATTCATCTGTTGATGAACACTGTCTTGCTTCCACCTTTTGTCTCTTGCACATATTGCTTCTATGAACAAGGGTGTACCAGGATCTCTTTAAGACCTTGCTTTCAGTTCTTTTGGGCATATATCCAGAAAGGGAATTGTTAGATCATGTGGTCATTTTATTTTTAATTTTCTGAGGAACTGCTGCACTATTTTCCATAGTGGCTACATCGCTTTACATTCCCTTCAACAACTGGAACAAGAGCTCCAATTTCTCCACATCCTTGCCAACACTTGTTCAACTCTCATAATCTATGATATGTAGGTTGCTGTTGGTGATTTAGTATAAGGAAGTTCATAGGAATCAGATAGAGAATTCTGTTCCCAGGCTCTGCCCTTGCGTGGTGTCAGCTTTGGCTCAATAGGGACAATGCCCAAACTCTGACATCTATTGGCTGGAAGGGAAGGAGACAGCAATCAGGGACCAGCCATTCAGCTCATGCATGAAACACCTACTGCGTCTTTCAGCAACTGAAAATATTTGCAACTAGTCACAAAGCATTAATTTTCTATGTATAAAAGACCTTCCACAAATCAATAAGAAAAATAAGAAAAAGGCCAAAGACCCAAATTAAAAGCGGCCAAAACAAATGTGCAGATGGCATATGGAACTGGAAATAACTAATACATTGAAAAGATGGTCATACTCAAAATTTAAAAATTCATTATAAAATGACAGTGAGAAACACTTCTTACTCATGGCTGGCTTCTACTAAAAAACAAAAACAAACAAACAAACAAAAACAGAAAATGGAGGGCCCTTTGAATCTGAACTCCCACCTAATACAGGAATCTCTCATGGTTTGCAAACCAAAAAACCATTATGTTTGGCCTAACCAAAGATAATTTTTTCCTGGGGTGGCATGTCAAACAGGGACACAGATCAAATTATGGTTTACTATAAATTGAACAAATCACCGTTAATTCAAATAATTTCATGAAATCAGTATTGCTCTGAGGAATCTTTGACAAATGGCCCCTGTAATTCCCACAGTGAGGAGAAGCCCTGACCCCCACAAGGAATCAGAACCATTTTTGACTTCCCGGTTTGCAAACTCTCACTTCCCCTGGGTTAGAAGCTGCTGCTTCTTATCTTCCTTCCGCCAATACTGGTTTTGTCCTCTGAAGCTACCCAGAGTAAGCCTAATACAGCTCTGCCAACGTCCTTCAAGGATTTGGTGACAGCAATCACTTCTCTCCTCAAAATCCTGGCCTGGCCCAGCTGTAACAATCCTTCCAGTAAGCTTCACTAATGTTAATTTGGAGACCACATACCATCCTAGAAAACACTCTGGACACTTAGTTTTTCAGTGACCTTGTTGTAATAGGATGCTAAAATACTCAAGATTGCATGATTTTCTTTTATAAAGCATACGTGCCCCATATGAAGAACTTCCCTCCATGCTAGCCATGATGTGTATGTGCGAGGGTGTGGGTTGGGTTAGGAAGCCAGTCTCTCCAATGTCATTGGCTGTGAAGAAGAGTAGAAATGTCCCCACTCCCTCTGGAATGAAACCCCAACACAACCAGAAGCCAGAACTTTCTCCAGTGGGCCTGGAAAGTGGAAACTCTTGCCTTTGGAGGGAGAGAGCAAAATGGGGAATGGGAGAGGAAAGAACCTACGAAGTTATGGGGGGATTCTCTGAGAGGAGATTTCTGTCAGCTAAGCACAGAAGAAGGTCTATGAGGTGGGTAAACTAGTCAGAAACCTAAAAAGAGGAGCCTCCATGTAACAACTGGAGTCTCATTCCAGAAACCAAGAAGAGTGGGTACCTGCCATAATCCACTTTCACTTACTTTATATGTCCTGCTCGTCAGAGAACATGAGTAAGATGTACTAAATGATTAATCGTACTGTTACTGCTCACAACAGGGTGAGGTTATTTGTTCCCATATTATAGATAAAAGAATGGAGTCTCAGAGAGGTCACAGTACTTGACCTAGGCCACCCAGCTAGTAAATGGTACAGTTGAGATTTAAACCCATGCAGCCTCACTGTGTTTCTTTCACACTGGTGTAGCTCCTTTAAAAATGCCAACCAGCTTTTGCTCTGCCACGGGAGTCAGCAGAAAGGACTCTGATGCTATCCAGCCTCAGGGACACAGGGGAGCAGCACAGCCCAGGGCCAGGTGTGATGGTGGCTCCTGGAATCGAGAGGACACTCAGAGAGACAGACTGGGGTGGGCAGAGACGGGGCCCAAAAGCATCCCTTTGCATCAAGAGAGTTGCTTTCCTGAGCTGCTGTTCATTTCGCAAACACTGCTTGAATACCCACTCTGTGCCAGGTACAGAGAGCTCTTCCCGCTCTAAGCTGGACAGGCATCAGCTTCTCAGCCTGGGTTTAGGTTTCAGGTGCACACTACAGTGCTCCATCTAAGCCACACCTAGAAGAGCTCTGGGGAAATATGACTACTTGGACAGAAAAAGAAGGAACAGAGAAGGGGTATCTTTGTGTCTGAGGTCTGAAAGAGCAACTGGGCT